TAGAAAGTCTGTAGTGTCTTGTACAAAAATTGCTCTGTGGGTGACGAGCGGTTTTAGGATTGATTCAACGAAACCTGATATTTCCTCAGTTAGGGTCCCATGGTTGGATATGATAGGTCTGCCAGGGTTCCCTTGTTTGTGGATTTCAGGGAGCATGTAAAAAGTCCCCGGGTTAGGTAGCGGGGGGATCAAGGTCTGTAGTTTTTCTTGTAGTCTTGATGGAAAATGTTTGATGGTATTGTTGAGTTTTTTGGTGAAAAGGGGAGTAGCATCTTCTTGTAGTTCTTTGTAGTAGGTGGTGTCAGAGAGCTGTCTGTTGGCTTCCTTTATGTAATCCTCACGGTTTAGGATGACTATGGCTCCTCCTTTATCTACTGGTTTTATTACTATTTGGTGGTTGGACCTTAGAGATTCTATGGTCTTTTTCTCAGGTAGAGAGAGGTTGTTGTGGTGGCGCGTGTTGCTGATTATTTCGTTGTTCATTCTTTCCCTGAAGCAGTCCAAGAGATGGCGGCATTCACCCAACAAGGTTCCAAAGCTGCACCAATGCAGCAGTTCCAGCAGCTGTGTCTGCAAGCTGCTGCTAGAGGTGAGTAGTCTGACCAATAAGAAGCCCCATGGTCTGGATCTGGCTCTCAGGGGGTCAAATAAGTTGGACAGCCCTATCTTAAGTACTTACGTTTAATTTCTGCTCTTAAAATTATGTCTATTCAGTTACTATGAATGAGAACAACTGAGCTCTTTTAATAGCTGATTATTTCTTAAGGTAATCACGAGGGAAAAACCAAGAGAGATATTGGGGCAGGGAAATAATTGTGGAGCTTTTACTTAACAGGAACAGCAACGGCCTATTTGCTAAAAGGAAACAAATCCCAGGTGAAAAATTCAGCAAAATGTTTCAAACGTGAGATATTTCAGATTTCTGAACAATAACCCAGGGTAAAAGAAGTTAGTGATGGCATCCTGGTCATGAGTTCTTCCCTTCAAAACCTACCTACAAACAAGTTTGTTTTCTATTTTTCTTGCATAAATTCAAGATAAGCTAGAAGTGTAGCACGCTGACTGCATGTGGACCATCAATACTCAACCATGAAATCTGGAGCCAAAATGAAAGGATCACTCTAATATCACATCAGCAGAAAATCAAAAATATCTACATGAATTTATACTTAAGGTGTAGAGACATAGTTAAAAGCACAAAAAGCACCACCATGACTGGGATGAACTCTAACAGGTTAACATACTTATTCAAAACTATTCAGGTCTGCAGAATTGCAAAGGAAATCTTAAAAGCTCCCTCGTGAGATTTCTTGCAATTCCCTACTTCTGTTCTGCTAAGAAATACCAGTACAACAGCCTCTCCCACAGTATTATGCCACTTCCTTTGCAGCAGTTGAATATAAACAGAAATGTTATTGTTACAGTTTTTAAACCAAACTTAATGCTGACCAAATGCATCTGACCTTAAAATAACAGAGTTTATTTTAAATTTCAAGTAAGAGTTAAGGCTGCTTCTTTCTTTATCCAACCAATTTTTCTCTCATTCAGTTTAAAGTCTATTGAAAAGTAATTTTAAAGACTGTCTGATAAGTTTTCTGGCGATTCCTTACTTCTAGTCCAGAACGAAATATTAGACAAACATGATATGAAACCTGTTGTCCCACTTAAATTTGTCTGGATGCGTTAAGGGAATTATACCAAGGTGGCTGTTCGGGTAGAATTCCAGACACTTCTGGAAGGTCAAAATTTGCAACTATCAAATGGTCTTCATAGTGTCACATTCACTGGGTCTCTCATGATAAGGGCAATTATTACTTTAAATAGGAAATTAGTTTTCAGTGATCACCACATATTAATATACATGAATTCTCCTAACTCAACACTACTTGTACCAAAGGAAATAGTAGGCAGCAAACAACTGAATAAAGAGTAATGAAAATATAATCTCTCCGGTATGTAAAATGGAGCAAATTGATCTCTTTGAATCCTTCAAGATCATACAAACCTTTGAATGAAACATACGGAAAGAACATTGATGAGTTTGATAATCCTACAAATGGAGCATTTTCAGTACCATTATAAATTATCTGAAATTATATTTTACACCCATATTCCAGGTGCAGTAGCTGTCTTTGATATAGAAACAGGCAAGATCAGTACTACAAAACCAACTGAAAAGTCGGACTTGAAGTTGGGGGGAAGGAGGGAAGAAGGAGTTGCAATGTTCTCTTACAGTAACACTGTCTTAAAGATCACAAAAAATGAGCAATTAGAATAAACTGAAGGACTTTAGCATGGGTATGTTCCAGACAGTTACATTACTAGATACCGTAAGAAAAATAAAGGGAAGAATGAAGAAGCAATCCATTTTGACATCAATACAAAAAGACTGGTTGAGGCAGAGAAGTGACTGAATTACACAAAAGAAAGTTCCTTCCTACTTCATATTACATTCAAATGAAACTTCAGAACATGGAGTCCAAATTACTGAAAGTGCCACCTGAAGAAGTAAAGGCATATGAAAAGGGGGTCTTTGACTTCTACTCAAAAAGAAAGAGAAACATGCAAGTTTTGGGGGGGCAATCTCTATTGCTTCTCAGAAAAGGGGAGGTTGTAGAATCTCCATTATCGAAAGTTTTAAGCGTAGTTGAGACAATTGTCTTGGATAGTATATGCAAGGATGTTCCTGCCTTGAGGAGAGGCCAATTAGATGACCCCTTGAGATCCCTTCCAGTGCAATTTTTCTATGGCTGTGAAAATGAAGATGACACATGGAATTACTTATTCGACTTATACCTACAGACAACATTACCCCACTACTACCAAGATGGCTCAGCATTTCAAAGCAGCTGGCTGAAGCAGATACTGAACAAGGCAGCTATTACATGGTAGAAAAAGTAAAGCACTCAGACATTTGCAGATCATTTTGTCTCCACTGGAGGAAGCGATACATCTACAATTGGCAAATTCATTCTGTTATTTAAAGAATGATTTCTTTCATTTTTCACTGACTCTTAGCAGTATCATCAAGTAATGCCTTCCACCATGAACAGTGGCCAAGGAGGGAATAAGCGATGCGAGCTTTGCTGGAAAGATCTTTGTTAGTCTCCTGCTAGCACTGTAAAAATATGATATACTTAAGTTTGAGGCTATGAGCCCTTAGGAAACTCTGTAACATGTTCTTTTCTGCAACACTGTCTTATAATTGTCATAGGATCATGGAAAGAAGGGCTGGAAGGGACCTTACAAGGTCATCTAGTTCCAGCCCTCTGCTCTAGGCAAGATCATCCCCAACTAAACCATCACAGCTAAGTGTCCGTCCAACCTGCTCTTGAAAACTTCCAAGCACAGAGATTCCACAATTCTTCTAGGTAGCCAGTTCAAATGCTTGATGGCCCTCACAATCAGAAAGTTCCTCCTAATTTCCATCCCAAATTTCCTCTGCAGCAGCTTGAGGCCATTGCTCCTAGTCTTCTACCTAAAAACCACAAAGACAAGGATATCTCCATCCTCTAAAACCCTCTCTGTCCTCTCTTCTCCAGACTAAATAACCCTATTTTTCAGCTTTTCCTCATAAGCCTTGCTTCTCAGACCCCTAATCATGTTCTGTCACTCTATGCTGGACTATTTCTAATCTATCCACATTCTTCCTGAAGTGTGGGGCTCAAAATTGGACACAGTACTCCAAGTGAGACCTCACCAGCATTGAACACAGCAAAAGTATCACTTCCCTTGATCTGCAAGTGACATTCCCATTAATATAACTCACTATACTGTTGGTTTTTTCCTTTTTTTTTTTGCAACAAGAGCTCATATTTAGCTTATGGTCTCTTGCAACTCTTTCTAGGAAACACTGCTGCCTAGCCATTCATTCCCCAGTCTATATTTGAGCATACAGTTATTTTGTACCAAGTGAAGGACTTCGTGTTTGTCTTTGCTGAATCTCATCTGATTGATTACAGATTATTTTTTCCAGTCTATCCAGGTTATTCTGGATCCTAGCCCTCTCTTCCTCAGTGTATGCAATTCTGCCCAAATTGGTGTTACCCACAAATTTGCTAAGTGATGATGAGATGCGCATAATCCTATCATCCAAATCATTAATAAAGATGGTGAACAATACCAGATCTAAGAAACAGCCTTGGGGAATGTCACTTGATACCGTCTTCCAGCTAGATTTTCAGTCACTTATTGAGTACAACGATCCAACCAGTTATGTATCCACATTACGTAAAGCATTAAACCTGTCTGCTCCTCTCTACAAATTAGAAAGTCAAGTTCAAGGCATCAGGCTTTAATTTCAAAGTAGTCAGTACTCTGAATCCAGCATATTCAAAAGATCACTTATTACTCTGGGATAAACACTGTCGTCAGCAGTGATGTGCTTTAGCCATAATGGAACTTTATAACAGGAATTCACCTGTGCTTTACTAGGGATGGTCTGTGACTGAGGAATTAATTCCCAAAGGACTTAAAAGACCAGGACAAACCTCATTCACTTTCTGCTCAAATGCAAGGCATTCTTTTGACCTCACTTTCCTGAAACGTAGAAATATGTACATTTAAAAAAACAAAACAAAAAAACCCCAACAACATCCAAATAAAAAAAAACTTTGCATTGCGCACAATGCTCCCTCAGAAATAATCTCCCCAGAATTAAGTCCTGATCTTAATCACACAGCTAAATCACAAGTGTATTAAAAGATGGAATTTAGATATTACAGTGATGTGTATGGTATGAGAACCTATACAGAAGAACAGAAGAGAGGCTGATGACATAACTGGCACAATTCTCAGGCCCAACCTGGTATCTGTCCATTAATGAAATGTTTTACCAAACTATAGCAGACAAGATTACCAAACTATAGAATCTTTCCACTACTTGGTCAAAGCTGGCCACAAGCACAAAAGGTCATAGATTAAATTTAAACAGAGCCACGCCCCCAAAAACCCCAGCTTTGCTGAATGCCTGCCCAAATAGGAAGGTCTTACACCATTGCTGAAAGATGTCCAGGCACAGTGCACACGTGTGGGCAATGGAGGCAGAGGAGAGGGATGCTCACTGCACATGTGGTGCAGGGTGGGAAGGGAGAGGAGGGATTGCTGTATGTGCATGCAGTGCAATAGCCACCCATACAGTGCAATAGCTGCCCACAGAGATTGCAGCAGTGTGGTGTGAGGGAGTATGGCTTGGGGGCCTGTGGTTTGTGCTACAGGGGCCTCCAGGGCATGCAACCCCTGCTAGTGCGGCGTGTACAGCATGCAGCCCCTGGCTGCTTACAAAGTTGGACAGCACTGACTTTATACATGCTAACTGTATTTTTTGTTCACTGTTTGGCAGTAGGTCTCATGAGTAAGCCATCATGCCAATGAACTAGCAGCTAGATGAATTACTGTCTTAGTCTACATGAGTATTCACTTAATTATATGCCAAAGAAAATAAGGCAAATGTCTCTGAAATAGAACAGCATGCGAAGTGCCTTGTAAGGCCTTTTTGTAATTGTGTTGGGTTGTTCAATAAATTCCTATGTGTAAACAACTTGTGGTCTGTAATAGTCATCTACATTTTCATGGAAAGCACTGCCACATTTTATTTTTCTATTTTTTATGTTCAGCACATTTAGAAAATAGATGAAAGACTAGATTGCAATACAAGCACGTGAGACACATAAGCCTGAATTTAATCTGCAATTTATTAAACACTATTTTATGAAATGTTCCATTAAAAATAAATTAATAATTCATGTGGTTAATGTCAGGTGTACATGCGTCTAAGTCAGTGGTTCTCAACCTTTTTAGATTCAAGATACCCCTTGGAAAATTCTAGCTCTTAGTTTTCACTTGTTTTCCCACTACAGAAAAATAATAGAGCAATTTCTCGATTGCAAAGATCAAATGCTTTTACTCATCTGAATCCCTATTTGAAATCTCTGGGTTTATCTATGAATTATATTTGCACACAATGGTTGAGAATCACTTCTAAATCAATATAGCTCCATCTGACTGAATACCTTTTATTTCAAACAATTTAGAAATAGGTACTCCCCTAATAAGTAATTCATCTTGTTAACAGATAAAGAATCATCACATACACCCTCAATTTATTCCCGACTGTTAACAGGGTACTAAAGTATGTGTCTACCTTTAGGCACACGAGTAGTCCTGTGGATAAAAATTGGGACTACTCAGGGTATTGATAGAAGAAACATATGTATCCACGTTGTATGCATCATTGTGTGCTTTTGTGGGTGCATTAGGTTGTGTGTGCCAGGAAATGTGCTAGAGGAGTGTCACCGTTCACACAAACATGGGGAGGGCAAATATACTACTATATACTTAAAATAGAGAGGGGCTAATGCATGTCAATTTTTTCTTGGGTCTGTTCTATCCCAGTATAAATGGAAGCTAAACTACAGTAATTTAGCAAGCGTGCTTTCAAAGGTAAAATGTCTTTATTTAGATTATCCTTACTATGGAACTGAGTGGACACATATTACAGTACAGCAATATCACTACATCACAGCCAACCAGATGTCTCACCAGCTTCTGCTCAACAATAAAGCTTCAACCACACAGCCTAAAGGTGTGTGCACAAGCTACTTTCTTGCCATTTAAAGTGCTTTATTGCTGTGGTTAACAGAAGTGTGAGACTTTACAGCACTTCAAAAATGGGTATAGTTCTTTAAATTAACCCTTGTTAAATGAGGTATTATATCTGAAGTGCTGTATTTTGCAACACTTTAGCAATTTACAGTGCTTTAAATAACTTCCGTACACTTGTCAAATTTGACCAGTGGAGAAGCCCCAGGAGGCTGCAGAGCACCCCCTGCTTCCTAGCTTGGAAAGTGCAGGGAGGATCAGAGGCCACCCCACATCAAACGCAGCACTTCTGTCATGTTTAAGAGTGCTGTAATATTATATGCTATAGAAAGTGCTCTAAAGTATAGTTCTGTAAAATATGCATGGAACACTTCTCCACACATACTAAATACAGATTAGATAGCAAACTGATCTGGAGGAATGTCATTTTAGTATGCCATACAAAATGGATGAACTTGAATAAGTCACTTAAAGAACAGCAAAACAGCTGAACTCTAGACATGCACAACACAGATGAAGCATTTTTGTCCCACAACCAAGTTATGGATGCTGCAGCAAGGACATTGCTGCAGCAACAGAAAGAGCCACCGCTTGTGCATGATTCTGGAAAAAAACATCTAGATAATGACAAGGACATGAAAAGAAGAGTCCCACATTGAATGAAGAAGAATTGTTTCTTCTGTCCATATCCTGAGGTGTCTACAGTTAGGCAACATGCTTAAGTCCTTTGCTGAATTGAAACCTTTATGAGTCAACATTCAGTAACTATGGTGGAAACCATTAAAATTATTAGCCAAACAACATCTTCCGATATCTAGCATCATACTACTTACTTTGGTAGTTTCCTCTGTGTTCAACTTGTTACCATTTAAGAGAATAATCTTGAAAGGGTTGCTAATATCCCAAACACTCTGGGTCAGCTGCTGAAAAAGAAGCAGAATGGTCAAGGTGTGTATATATATAACATAGTATAGTAGTACTAATACTACTATTACTCATAAATACACACACATATATACGCTACATTATACACACACTTGGGTGTGTGTGCAATGTAGCAATTTTACACATTACAAGCTTTTGCAATGTTACTGGAAAAATCTAGAAAATATGGCTAAACATTTAAACTAACAAATAAATATATTTTTTAAAATTAAGGCAGAATAATTGAGCAATGAAAGACAGCACTTAAAAAATGGTCTAAACAATATATTGCCACTGAAGTATCTCTGAAATACATTCAGTACCAGCTACTGAAAATTCAGAATAATAAATTTTACTTCCCACAGATTTCCCATAATTATCATGCACACGTAAACAGTTAAAAATAAAGAAAGAAAACACTTCACGATATATTATCACTGAATAAAAATCTCTCTTTGTTTCTAAGGATGACACTTGTGGAAATTATAATCTTATTCTGTAGTACAGGCTCCCATTAGTTAGACATAACATCAAGAACTTGGAAAAATGCCAGTGTTTGTTATAATGGCAACACCATGCAAAAAATGCACATGTCTGAAGTAGACAAGGCTCTTCTGAGCTAGTGGAGACAACATGTCTACTGAAACTGAGGAAATTAATAGCGCAAAGCTTTGGTCCCCGATTTGATTCGGTGGAGATTCGGCCCGATTCGGTGGCCAAATCTCCAAATCCGAATTGAATTAGAGGACCCTTTAATCTCTCCTAATTGAATCGGAACCCTCTGAATCAATTTAGAGAGATTCAGACAGACACAGCTTTAAATGTTTTTTCTACATACCTCAAGGTACCAGGCGGCTCATCAACACTGTGATGGTGGGGCGGATGGAGCGTCCCACAGTAGCGCAGAGGGTCCCTAGTGCACTCAGCAGCAGACCTGGAAGTGGCACTTCCGGATCCACCAGGGAGCATGGGGGCCTGCAGCCCCGCGGCTTGGCTACTGGTGTTTCCTGGGTCAGGGGGGTACCTGGGGTCCCCCCGCAGCCAATCACAGATCTGGGAAGGTACAGGGTGAAGGGCTCCCCCACTGCACTCCCTAGTGGACCCAGAAGTGGACCTGAAATACTTCTGGTCCACTTCCGGGTATGCTGCTGAGCATGTGGGGGGCCCCCCACTGCACTCCTGTGGGACGCTCCATCCGCCCCAGCATCGCAGGGTTCAGGAGCTGTTCCTGGTACCTCTAGGTATATAGAAAAAACATTTAAAGCTGTGTTCTCCAAATCAGCATTGAATTTTGATTCAGGTTTGGCCAAATCGAATCACTGTCCCCAATTTGGGCCAAATCCAAATCCAACAGGGTCCATTTTGCACAACACTAGAAATTAACTATCCCCTCACAGAGCTTCTTCAGCAACTAATTTCAGATGATTCCTCCTCTTCTTTGCCTGAATGAAAAAGTTATTGGAAAAGGAGAACTTCTTTCAAACACAGGGTATGAACATAACCGTGTTTGAAAAGGATAAGAAGTAGAGCCTACAAGGCCTCCAGCCCTGATGTAACATTTTGAGCAACAGCAGGTATTGCCCTGCAGACAGCTGTAGTTTATATCAGAAAAAAGGAGTATAAGAGGAAAACCATACATAAAGTCCTATGTCTTATATTCCTCAGGATGGTGCATTCCTTTATGTTACCTAAAATACTCAAATCAACTTACGGTAGCTGTACGTGTTTTTTTTGGTGGCAGAGGAAGAGGCAAGTTGGATGATTTTCGGTTTATGGCAGCTTCTATGGCAATCATTTCCTGGTCACACATTTTCTTTATGGTACAACACTCAACAAGGGTCAGCTGAGGAAGAGTCCTGTTCATCACGCAGTTACGGATATACTGACATCAGACATAAAATGGTTGGTTATAACATTGCTTTCATTGTTTAAAATTACTTTAGATTATGATGCATTAGAAAAAGGAGCTTTGGATATGTAAGAGCTGAGCTGAATTAAAATGGTGGGCAAATGTTTCCTATGGTCATTATTAGATAATTATTAGCTATAACTTAAACTTTCCTATTTCCATTCCAATTTGCAAAACCATAATCAAATTTACTTTTCAATCTTCCAGTGTCATCCTAATCATAATACTAAATTCAATTTTAATAAGCAAATCAAAGTATTGTGCAGAAAATAGATTTTAACAGAAAAAAAAAAATCTTTGTACTGTTTTTATTTTGACATCAACAGTTTCTAAACTAAACCAATCAGCTATTTAAAGAAATCAACTTTCTGGAATTTCTTCACCATATTTGAAAAAAGAAAAGAGACTGCCTTGAATACTGAATACAAAAACATTCCTACCTGGAACTGAATTAAGGGTTGATCACCAAAAACATATTCCAGTCTTCCACTAACTTGCAACACATAGTCACTTGGATTGATTTCCTCATCTTCCCTCCCACGGATAGTCAAACGTTTTCGGATTGCCAACTCATTCAGCTTGATAGGATTTATGTTAGGAGATACTTGAAAACTAAATACATCCTGATAAGATAAGGAAATATTTACATAGCTTCACATACATATATATTTAAAGTAGCATTTAATTTATTACTTTTTTTTGGCGGGGTCAATATCAAATTGTCTTCCCTCTAAATAAAGTCCTACATGAGAAAAAGTTGTCTTATCATTTAAAAAAAACCCCAAAAAACTGTATTTGAATTTTCTTGACTTTGGCACAAAAATATGCCAGCATCATAATCTAAGTTAGGGCTGACAAACTATTAAAAAATGAATTGCAATTACTTGCATGATCAAAAAAAATAATTAAATAATCGCAATTTTGATCACACAGTTATACAATAGTCAACACCTCTCTAACCAACAGCCAAGAGCCCATACGCCCTACAGCTACTCCCCCACCAACACCAACAGCACACAGCCTGAGCCCTGACCCTGGCCTGCCCCGCGCCTGCTCCGGACTCGCACTGGCCGGAGCAGACCAGCTGGAACCCATGCTAACAGCCCTGACCCAGCCCACCCTGCGCCTCCTCCAGACTCACCCACCCACACTGAGCAGCAGCGGTAGCTAGGCAGAAGCTGCTGCTCCATGTGGGGGAAAAGCTGCCCCTTCCCCTCAGCGCTGCAGGGTCTTCTTGCTGCAGCTGCCTGAAGCCCATGCCCAGGCTACCCAGCAGCTCCTCTGCACTGCCATTGCTGCCCCACTGGGTGGCCTTAAGGTGACAGTGATGGTGCCAGAGAGGAGCCACAGGGCAGCCTGGGCATGGGCTCTGGGCGGCTCCAGCAAGAAAGGCTCAGCAACAGTGACGGGGAGGGGCGGCTTTTCCCTTGTGCTGAGCAGCCCCTTCTGCCTGGCCACCACTGCTTCTGTCATTGCTCAGCATGGGCAGGTGGTCCAGAGCAGGCATGGGCTAGGCCTGGTTTGGGGCTGTGCTCAGGTTCCAGCTGGTCCACTCTGCCAGGCTGAGTCCAGAGAGAGTGTGGGACAGGCTGTGTTCTGTCTACCCCTGGTCAAAATGGATGTGTGCAATTAACACATTACAAAAATTAATGCATTAATTTGTTTTGCAGTAATCGCATATGCTAACTGCAATTAACTGACAGCCCTAATATAATTGCTATTTTTTTCTAAGATTAATAAATGGCTGTCAATATTCTGTACAGAATATATTTGAAACTTCTGTTTTTAATTAAACATTTTAAAATGGACTGAATTTAGAAACTATTTGCATATTTCTCATTCTGCTCCGAACTGAATTTTTTGTTTTAAAAGATTAAGATAAGCAGTTACTGAACCCACATTAGCATCTCCAGGAATACCATAGCCATGAATAAAGGTGAAATGAATTCAAGTCTTCAACAGAAGAAGCTTCTCCTTTTTGAAGCTTCCCTCTCCCACAAGCATATTGTTATGCATAAGTTTATCTGCAACATCTCAGGCAGGGTTTTCATATAAAAAAAATATTCTAGAAAGATGTAGCCATTCTAAAATATAAAGTGTGGTCTAGCAAGCATTCTTTTGTCTTGTGCCTTATTATTATTATATAGGCTTTGTCAGCAAGGACAACCCTTCAAAAAGGATCATAACCATAATAAAGTCGGTCGAAAATCAATTCAGTGTTTTCCCAATTTCAAAACTATGTCCCACAACAGCTTCCTTCCCTACAGCTGCTGCCAGATCTTGAAGGTTTGCCTGTCTCTACCAAAACTGATGAGGGACAGGACAACAACATTGCTTTTCCTCACAATTGCTGGTGCTTCACTATAGATTTGGGGGGTGGGGGACAGGGGGTGAAGGGCATGCATCCTTACATACGCGGGAAGTGGTTTCACTCTTTCAAATACAGAGTCAGTTTGGTTGGCTTCACAGGGCACTTTTACACATGCTCTGGGGTGTGTGTGGGGGGTGCACTTTAAATTAGAACGGCTCCAAGAGCCGTTTTAATTAAAGCGCTGCCATGTCTCCTGCATCAGCTTCTCCATGTCCCCGTGCTTAAAAATGGCAGCTGGGGTGTCTGAACTACAGCTTGCTTGATAAGTTTTAGTTCAAGCACCCCCTCCACCATTTTTAAGCATGAAGATGCCGATACACAAGACGCAGGAAGCTGCTGGAGCACCGCAACTGCTATGCTCTAGCAGATCCAATTATCAAGTCTGCTCCGACATGCTGGAATTCCATCACGTTGGAACAGTCTCTGCACTCATAGCTTCCTTATTATTCTGGGTAGCTAATTTTGGACATTATTCCATTTTTTCCTGTAATTCATCAGTTTGCTTTCCCCTGCTGAAAGGAGGTGTTGGTGTACTTCCTTGTCAGTTTTTTTTTTTTTTAATTATTTATTTTAAATTCTTGCTTTCATAATGCTTTTACAAAGCAAACAGAAAAACCAAGATTGGGGCTAATGTACTAAAGTAGCTTGAATTTAACCACTAATAGCTTTCAAGACCAGGCCCGAGACCTTAAATTGTGTGCAGAAGTGTCTTGGACCTTGTCTACCTTCTGGCCCACACTGCCAGAGTGAATGCACAATCATGCCCCTTTGGCAACTCCACTCAGCTGAGCTGCCTAGTATGAAGAGCACTTCAGGAAGGCACCAGCTCATGAAAAGACCACCCCCAACTAGCAATGGGGCAGAATCTGCCTGGGGGCAGAAGCCTCAATTTTCAGCAGCTGGTACTTTCACATTATTTTTGTATCAGCTTCACATGCAGAGATTTATAATAATGTATTTTGGAGATAACAAAATCCCTGCACCAAAGCCAGCTTCCATTCTTCCCTTTTTTGGGTCACTGATCAGTCGCCTAGCCTTAGCTAGTTGTACACTGCTGCCAAAATAAGTATTGATATTTTGATCAGTTTCCAAAGCCAAAAATCATTTTCTCCCATTTCAATTCATTTTTAGAGATTTTATCAGCAATGTTATCAAAACAGCAGAGGCATAACTGGGAAGCTCCACGCTCTGGGGAGCAGCTCTGCACAGGGCAGTGCTGGCTGCTAGCAGCAGTGTGTATGACTGCCAGCTGCGATGGAAGCTATTTTCTCACCCCCATCCATCAGTGACTGCATCTGAGGCCACTGTCTCAAGAGCTCCTCACCCCCTCAGTTATGCTACTGCAAAACAGTCAACTCAAACTATGAGCACATGAAAGCAATCACAACTGGGAAACGTACTGTTGTTATTTTGTTATTCTTATTTTTTTTAATCATCCATTCTGATCCATTCTACTGTTGTAAAAGCATAGCAGGGACATACTAGAGATACAAACATGATGAAACATGTTCTGGTGTGGGACCTATATGTTCCTACAAAGAGTAACATTTTGGCTAGGGACAGACTTTACACAAACTGGTTTAAGTGATCAGAAACTGGTTTCAACTTGTAACAGAACAGACATTCAAGTGCACATAAACCAATTTCAAAATGGCTGAAACCGGTGTAAGATAAACCTGGTTGAATGTAGTATCAGACTTAACTGATTTGGCTCAAACCAGTTTATACAAATGTCTGTCCCAGACCCCTTCTTGGTTTAAGTTAAACCAGACTCCCCCAGCATCCCGGCATGCTCTCCAGGCTGGGCTCTCCAGCCTAAACAAGAACAGGCAGGGGTGAGGGTCTGGCCAGGGAGGGGTTTCATTCTCCCGCTCTCTCTCACCAGCAGGGACCTGAGCCAGGTCTGCCTGGTACTCCCCTCTTGCTGCCGCACCATGGCCCCTGAGGCAGAGGGAGCAGGGAGGAGAGTCAGTCTCCCCCCTACCCCCACTGGCAGCCAGGTCTGCCTGCCGTCTCCACCTCATTCGCTCCCCGCTGTGGAATAAGCCCCTGCTGTCCCTTCTGCCAGACCCCGGAGGAATAACCCTGTCCCTACCCATCTCCCCAGGGGCCCTGTACCACTGTCCCCGTACCACTGCTGCAGCAGGAGTGGGAAGGGCTCTTGTTGCAGGCAGCAGCCCCTGTCAATGTCAGGGAGTGCGAGCCCCTTACTGGTGGGGACACTACACTGTGAGCCAGGAGAGCTGCAGCAGGCTGCATGTGCTGACTCTGGGAAGAGGCTCACGCTTACAGAAATGGGGATGGGGGCAGCTGCCCCAGTCACAGTAGCTCCTGCCTTACTGCTTGAGTGGATGGGTCAGGGTGAGGCAGAGCCAGACACCACCTGCAAGACCTCGGGGGAGGGGGGGCAGGGAATGGGGTTCCCTGCTCTGACCCTGGGGCACCACAGCCGGATCTGCCTGGCCCGGCCACAGCCACCTCTTGGTTGGCACTCAGGGCACTGTCCGGCGGAATAAGCACCCTTCTGCCAGGACGGGGCTGGCGCCAAGTGCAGACCAAGTGGCAGCTGCAGACCAAAGAGCAGGCAGACTTAGTCTGTGCTCAGGGCCAGCCTCCTCCCAGCAGGAGGGGGCTAATTCCGCCAGACACTGCCCCAAGCAGCAGTTGCGGCTGGGCCGGGCAGACCCAGCTGCGGTGCTCCGGAGGCAAAGTGGAGAACCCCACTCCCCGACCTCCCAAAGGCCCTGCAGGCAGCATCTGACCTCACCCCCGCCCCTGCCCAGCTGCTGTAGTGGTGAGAGGGGGGACCTACTGTGACTGGGGTAGCAGCCCCCGTCCCCGTTTCCCCAAGAGCAAGCCTCTTCCTGGCAGGGGCCGCACTGCTGGGCTGGCAGAACTGCTGCAGAGCATGGCAGTGCTGAGGGGGGCTTGCAGGGCTCTGGCCCTCCAGATGCCAGTGCTGCCAACACACAGCCTGCCACAGTTCTGCTGGCCCGCTCCCCAACATTATGATTGGGGCTGCTGCCCCCAACAAAGGCCCTACTCCCTCCCACTGCAGTGGCAGGGTGGAGGCATGGCTAGACAGGGCCCCTGGGGTGGGGGCAAGGACAGGGGTTATTCCTTCTCCATCCGGCATCTGGCAGAGGGGACAGCAGGGACCTACTTGGTAACAGGGAGTGAGCGTGGCAGCAACAGCGGACTGACCAGGTTACCAGTGGCGGTAGAGGAAAAACTACCTCTCCTCCCTGCCTGCCTCTGCCTCAGGGACCATGGTGCATCAGCGAGGGGGGAATGCTCGGCAGACCCAGCTTGGGTTCCTGTTGGTGGGATAGAGGGGGGAATTAAACCCCTCCCTGGCCAGTTCAGCCCAGACTGGCCATGCCCCCCATCATAGTTTCCCTTCAGCCGAGGGCTCGCTCTAGCGCCCCAAGGCATCTGGCCTCAGCAACTGCAGGCATGTGCCTGCATTTCCTCAGTCCAGAGAGAATACTTGTCTTTTTACAAACTGGTTCAGTCTAGGCAGGTTAGACTAACCTGCAAAGGTTGAATCAATTCAGGGTCTAGAGCTTTGTGAATGTCTGCCCCTTTATGCTGCACTGTGAGTGCAGTAAGAATTAAAATAAACTAGCTGAAAATTAGTGATTTTTCTTGCTCAGAAAGTGTAATTTTGGGGATTGCTTCTGATTCTACTGACACCATTTCAACCTAAATTCTTTAACATTTTTGTATCAATACTATTTGAAAATCAAAAGATAGGAGGTTTAGTGCAAGGCATGAAGACCTACTTCTGTGTCAGTTATGCAGTGCAATTCTGTCTAAACACTATCAAATCATGCCCAAAGATGCTCAACAGTGAATTACAGCACATAAATATAAGCAATAGTTTTAAAAGAGGAGGTTTTTTTTAGAAAGTCAAGCAACAGAATCTGAATATGGGGTCCCTGCCATTCAGTGTTTTATTGGCCTAAAATCAGTCAGTAGTAAAAAAGAAAAACAGCAGTTGGCCAAAGTAGTTCTGAGTATACATGAACAAATACATAAAAAGTCAGGGACATGCACTTAAAAATATGACAAGTTTCTAAAAAAACAAGGATAAAATACATCTTCAGATAGATATTTTATCCACTATCTACACTTACATTAAGTAATTCTTAGTGCATTCCCCTTACAGAAGGAACAACTGTTTGCACAGCAGAAGAATGAGTAGAGTATTTTGTTCTATTAATGAATGAATTCTGACTTTAGTGACCTCAACTTCTAATGTAGGGTCCCTCTCCTTCAAAAGTCAAGGAACTGTAAAGGGAAAACATGGACCCTAAAGCCAACACCACAGCATTTAAACATTATTTCACTCAGCATGCTCTGTGCATACTTTTTAGTCACTGTGCTTTCTAACCTGAGGACCAGATTATTTATCTGACTTCAAAGACAACAATGACTCTACCTGGCAGTTATCAAAATGAATGGCCACTACAAGATTTCCACCATAGAGCTTATCTTGGAAGTTTTCTGGGATAGAAGGTTCTTGTTCTGGGGGATAAGTGTGCTTTAACCAGTCCATCCAAGACAGACTAACAAGTGAGTGATTCTTCTCTTCACTGATTCGTCGCATTTTTGTACGGAATTCTTTCACTTCAGGGTCCGGTAGGGCATCAAATTCATGAAGGCCTGAAAGAGTCAGTCAAACAACAGGTATTTAGTGCATAACCACTGCTTGTTTATTCACAAGCATATATACAGCATGTATGCAAGGTGATAAGAAATTCATTTGAGCAACATTAACATATTTTAAAAAAGCAGTGGTCAAAGGCTATTTTATGGCTGCCCAACCTGTGGCCCACTGGCTGTGTATGAGCAATGAGGGCTTAAGTTGCAGCCCTGGGGTTCCTGCCAGACTGCTGCTCCCCACATTGCTCCAGCTGCAACAGCTGCCAGAGTCTCCCCCCTCTTCCTCTAGTCTTCCCTGTCTGCCCAGGAAGAGGCAGGGCAGTGCACCACAGCTGAGGAACCAAGTATGAGCCTGGGATCATGCAAGTGGAAGTGTGTAAAAACACCTGTGCAGGTGCATGGTGCATTGGGGGGAAAGGCTACATGGCCACTGGGCACAAAGCCCCCACTGATGCAGCCTGTGGGACATTTGGCCCCTGGACTGCTTAGAAGTTGGACAGCCCTGTGCTACGTGAACAACCAGTCAACTTGAGCTCTTAAACCTTCTCACCCAAAATTGCTGGTGGAGAGCAAGCTGAATTTGATTCTAAAGTCTGTAGCAATAACATTTTTAAATAAACTTCTCAAAGAGAGAATTTTAATCTGGGTTAAATACACGGTTCAACGAACCTCTCCTATCTCACTATTAAAAGGAAAGCTACCCCTTTTCTGACCCCAGAAAGATGTCATAAAGATAAAAAAGAGCATAAGCTTTATCATCATCTTCCTCTTGTATCAGATAATCGATATAGTCAAGTGGGACAGCTAGACATCAGAAAAGCTTGTAGGCCACCAATTTCCCCCCCAAAGATGAAGACAACTATTTCAGAAGAGGCTGTGGAAGAATGACAGTTAGCAAGAAGCTGGTGTGGTAGGTAGCAAATGGAAAGTTTTCCTTGGATAGGGACTTGTAATTTTTAATCCGATACTCTCAAAAAACTAAAAAGGCCAAAAATTCCCACAAACCAAACTTGCTTGTGTGCCTTTCTAAAAGGTATGTAAACTGCTTCGCCTGAAGCAAAAGACTATGAAAGTGTCACATTTCTCGTGTACTTAAAAGAACATTGTCCAAGCTGTGCTAAAGCACCCTTTGAAATCCAGTTCAGCCTTACAAGCTAAAAAAATACTGGAATGCATCAATTTTCTACTGTCAGCAGACATAATAGGAAGTGAAGACTAGCTCTGTAGTCATAGGCTTGCAAAGCCATAAAAACTGAATTATTCAGTCACAAAAACCTTTCAGAGTACTAAGGCTGAAATGGTTAAACTGGCTAAGTCAGCAACAGTTCCATTGTCAGTTTGAACAAATATCAGACAGTTTGTTGCTGAAACCTAAACAGAACTTGCAGTCTTTATAAAAGGGCTAACAATTGTTCATTGTTCTGATGTGTGACGTATGACCTCATTAGTCGCTCTTTGTCTTCATTTACATAACCAAGAGAACAATCTGACAGCATACTTGAAAATTGTGTATTAAAAAGCCCAAGAGCAATTGATTGTTAAGTCTCTACAAAACAGCTTAACAGTTTTTCCTTATATGATGAATGATATAGAAAAAACTATTTAAAAAAACTGCAGTGCAACTATTAAAAAAACAAACAAACAAACCAACAACACAAAAGTTAACTGAATAAGAAAGGGAAAAATATACAGGGCAGAAACTGGTTTCTACACTCTTAAAAAACCCTAATCACTATTAGGCTTTTGGTCACAACAGCCTTCAGAATATTGTACTTTACTCCCATCACTAATAAGATTATACACTACACTCTTCTGTTACTTAACGCGATAACTGGCCTTTGAAACATATCAAAAGCACACGGCACTGCCATATGATAAACTGAAATCTCAGTCTCCTGAAGAGAAATTCCTATTTAGATTCAAGAGCAGCCTCCAAAGCAGTTTTACTTAAGCCCTCCAATTAGCTCTGAAGGGGGAAGGGAGGATTGCAGTAGTTGAACTACTCAAGACAACAAAAACTTATTTGTTGTTTAGATCATTGACCTAGTGTTGCAGGCAGATGTTAATGTAATATAAAATCTGTTAGTGCAAGGATGAAGATTTAAAAACAAATCTTAGAGCAAAAACTTATTTGCCTGTAGTTTTTGCCCAAATATCTTACATAAACCCTGTGTAAAAAGGAACAGAACTACCTCTACCTCAAAACTTTATGATTCTCTGAGGCAGCAGTAGTTTGATATGAATCCTATCTTACTAATCATGACTGGGAAGGACCACTAATAGATATCAGCTTTTAAACTTCAAACCAGTCCTTGATGCTGGCCAGGAAACGGGTTGTGATCTTTATGACCACTAGCCATTCTATACTTCATTTCTTCATTTTTTTTTTTTAAAAGGCCTTCTGCAAATGTCTTCTTGCCTGACTGGCCAAGAAGAATCTGTCTGCAAAGCTGCAGTAGCAGCAGTTAGCGAGATAGAAGCAGTGGCAGGTAGGGACATTTGCAAGGAGCTTCCACAGTTCCAGTGTGGGGAGAGCTTGATCCCTGTAACAAAAATAAGCTCAATGCAATTTTGACAATGGCTGGTATTAGTGTGATAATGGAGATCAGAATTTTTCAAGCTGTTTATATCAGCCTTTAAATGAAAAGCTCCAAAAGAGAAAACTGAGACAAAAAGTTCTATTCGTCTACATGCCTCTTTCGCAAAGTAACCTCTCCTCCCCTTTCCCCATACACAACAAATGAAACAAAAACAAAAAAGCTCTTTCAAAGTTACCTTTTCCTATGAGAACACCTATTCTGGAATCCAATTTTTCCCCTGGATCACAGTTCCTTGTCACAAGTTTGAGGACAGGAAGAAAGGGTCTAACATCACAGAGTCTTCGCGTTTCATCCTCTAGCTCCTCGTGTACTGCTGTCTGGTTCACACATGAGAACATGTAAGAATCAATCTCCAAAAGGAGATGAAATAAGGGATAGCTGTGTGCTTGCTTCCATAGTAGCTGCAAATAAGAAAAACACACTCTTTTAAGGACCCTTAAACAATTATTTGGAATTTTTCTTTTTCACTTACCTGTTTACCTTAAGAGAGTTCGTAGTTAATACAGACCAGTTTCCATTTTCTGCATGATAAATCTAGAAACACTAAATAAAGGGAAAAGTGATACCAATTATCACTGCCTTTGTTAGGTCTTCTAACAGAGGATCGACAGTTGCCTACTTGTTAGGTCCTGTCTTCACTACTAAATAAAAAATAAAAAAAATGTTAGCCTGAAGAATTTTCAAACACTCTTGTGTTTCAAACACTAACATATACATCCATTCCTGAGGTAAAACACACAATGTAGTTAAGTAAACCAGGATGAGGTCAGTTTTAAACCCCCTCTTAGAGCTGACCTCATCTATTTTACCTCGCAGTAAAACTAAATTGAAGGTAGTCATCATTTACTGCAGCAATAGAAGAATACTGACTAATCCTGGAGCCAGTCCCCAGGGCTAACTAGCAGACTGTCAGCACCCTTCTGGAGCCCTCTCACAATACTTTCCTCTCCAAAAATTTTCGTAGATCGTTTTTTCTTCCTTGAATATCCTCTAAATTCTTATTCAGGATGGGAAGCCTGAGAGTAGGCATGGGTAAATGCTGAGAATTTCAAGCAATGTAACTGATGAACTAGTAATTGTTTACATATATTGCATCTGCTGCTTCCACTTTTCTAAACATCACAGAGATTAATATCAAATGGTTGGGCTAGACAACTGATTCTTTTGAGGATTTATCTTTTTCTCAGTAATGCCAGTAAACTATGGGTTAGAAACATACAAAGTGAAATATCTATTATGTACTTTGGTAAAACACTTTTTAACACCATAATTCTGACCAACTATAAGATCCTAGATCTTGAAAGCTAAATTAGTCTGCCTTCTGTTTCGATGACCAGGATACCAAATAAATTCATTTTCAGATATTTTATTTTTTATTATTTTGATACTACAGTGATGGGAACAGGATGTTAGAGTTTGTGTACAAAAAAAGTTTGAGAGTCATGGAATTTTTAAGATCCAACCACCGAATAGCAATGAAACCAGCAGATAAAGGAGGAACTATAGTTATCCTTAACCATGACTACATAAAAGAAGCCAACAGACAACTCTCTGACACTATCTATTATAAAAAACTAGAGGAAGATCCAACCCCTTTTTCACCTCAAAATTCAAGCCATCATCACATTTCACAGAATTCACAGAAGTTTAGGGGTGGAAGGGACCTCGTGAGATCACCAAATCCCCTCAGTCTTAGGCTGAACAGTCCCATATCTGTCAGCCATTCCTCATATGGCTTGCTCTTCAGGCCTTACCAATGCAGAGTTGTGTGGGAGAATAACTTCACATTTTTTCCAGGAACCTTATTTTTCCTAGCACTTTGAATATGTAATCATGATCTATTCTGTCTCATACTTTTCTCTAAATCTAGGTTTGCTATAACTCTTTATTTTCTTCTCTTGCATGTGGGACAGTATCTCTCTGATCAGTCACTCTAATCACTTGGGAGATCCTTCTCCCTGGTACTGTGTATACTTGGTCTTCATGTATTATCTTCTGGAGGCTTTTCCTCATCCTCAAAGCCAGCATCTTGGCCATTAACTTATAATTCATATTAAGGAGTGTAATCAGTCTCCAGTTTTTCAGGAGTTACTTCTCCCCTTTCTTGAAGAGTAAAATCTCAATATCTCTTGTAAAATCTTTCCCTGCCTCTCCTGTTTCTGCTATTTCCTCAATAACTTCCACTATATCCCTCCCTACCCATGCCCAAAACTCTCCCAAAATAAGTAGTCTGTCTGCTTTTGATTTCCTTCTTTTAAATGTTTTTAAGAACTACTCCACTTCCTTTATCTTTTCTTCCATCATCTTTGCTTCTTCCTTCAGTACTTTCTCATAAATCTGTTCCAGCAAATCCTTCATCATCTTCCTATTTCCTTCTGATGTAGCTCTTCATAAAATCTTCTAATTGCCTCCAACACCTATTCCTGCTTTTCCACCTGGGTATCATCATCTTTCTGTACTGCTTTTAGGTCTTTCTCCATCTTCACTCTAGCCGAAAAAGTACTGGGAGCTCTCTATTTTCTCCCACCCAGGGTGCTAAAACCATTCTCTCTCTCGTCTTCCCATCTCTTGCCTTGTTTCTTCTACTTGTTCTCATACCTGTCTTCCTTCTGCAGCTTCCTTTAGCAGCTCCTGTATCATCTTTCTCTGCAGCACTCTCAGCTCTTTCGTTCTTCTCATGGTTCTTTGGCCTTCCTTCCTGGACAATTCTCCCATCTTCTTCTTCACCATCATTCACCAATCTCTGATACTCCCAAAACATTGTGTCAGTGTTCTCCATCTTTCATACCATCTCATGTAAAATTGACATATCTCCTGATCTTGTAACAGTTTCATGGCAGTTGCAACTGTAACAGTTGCACATTTAACTTCCACATTCTCCTTCTGCTTACGGGGGCTCTTACCAAGACTCAGTTCCTCCTTCAGCTTCCAGCGATCACTAAATGCCACAATTATGGTTTCTCTCTTCAATCTCTCTCTTTATTTTGATACAAACACAAAGTCAGTTTTTGATGGTTTCCTTCCACTGGGGTCAGGTCTAGTGAAAACTCTATCCTGTGCCCACACAGCTGTCAGTGACTCTTATTTATTATATTTATTAACAATCTGGATGAACTGTCTAAAGTTCTGTCTTCTCCTTCCCCTGTTCTGTCACCTACTTCTATTATACAACTGAAGTCCCCAGCCGTTATCTATGGTCTCCTTCTGACCACCACTGTTAGCTTCCTAAGCATAGCCTTCCTCTCCTCTCACTGTGGTGGTACACGCACGTTTCTAATTCTGCTCCCCTGGCTGACAGTATCATCCATTGTAGTCTCCAACTTCCACCTATTTTACTCTCAACTCTGGATTCTTGAAAAGTATTGCTACTCCTGCCACTGGGCACTCCCCTTGTGCTAAGACACCGGGGGGGGGGGGGGGTGAAATGCCCACCAAACTGCCCCAGACAACCTGCTGGTGGAAGAAGGAAAGCATCAACCACCTCCTCTAGAGCTGCCTGTACACCAGGGAGATGTGGAGGAGAGTAAGCAAACTCCTTCAGATAGTGATGGGGTGAAGACCCTGACCAGAGAGGCTGTGCTGTTCAGCCATCTGACCAAGCAGCAAGGAACTCCAAAAATCAGCTTTGACCAGTTCACCTCCTGCTTCAGGAATACACGGTGGAAGACCAAGAACCTGCTCATGTACAGGCACATGAACCTCGCAGACAAAATGCAGTCATGAACTGCATCAAAACGTGGCCGAGGGAGCTATAGCTATAAGACAGAAGGCAAAGACAGGTAGAAGACAGAGGAAGACACATGGAGGAGGAAAGAATGGCACAGACTGTTTAAGGGCAGCACCTCCAAATAAGATAACAACAACAGTGAAAAAGAGATCAGCGATGACAACAGAGAAGATGACAAAGAGTATGAGAAAAAAGAAGATCACAAGGAAGATGGAGACTTAGGGCTGGCAGAGTCATGAGAGGACTGGGGAAAGAAACAGAGGGGTTGTGGAGGAGGAGACGCAGAGGCGGCTAGAGGAGATGGTGACGGGCAAGTGGGTGTTCAGGAATGGAGCTGCGTTTTATTGTAATGGCAATGATGACGGTCAACTGTAGGTGTGTTATGGACTGTCAAGTGAACTGTATCAGTCACAAGACAGGATAGCAAAAGTTTAGCTACACACATTTTGCAAAAAGTAGTTTATACTAGATATAAGTAGGTGCCAAAGTGCTACTCAAAAGAGTGTTTATGAAACACCTTTGATAAAACTTGCCATACTTCCAAAAAAAACAAAGGTAACATACATCAACTCTAATGAACTAAGCCTATGGGTACTATATGCAAATTGCTACAGCCATGTTTAATCTCAAGGTTATTGTTTTCAAACTTGCTCTTCACTTTCATGTGCTCAGGCGGAGGGGGAAGGGGCTGACAGGGGAAAAGCTTGGCGGGGGGAAGCAGAGAGAAAATGGCTAGCTGATTCCCCAGATTGATTTTCCCTGCTGTAGCAGTGGGAGGGGCAAACCTACTAATTGAAGGCAAACCTACAATAATTAGATTCTATAGGAAAATTATAACAAATTTATAAACTTTTCCATATACTTTCTATATCTAATTATGGTGTCATTTTATAATCCAGGTCATCTTCTATTTGAGTAAACACTGTAAGTCATTTTTCTCTTGGAACTGCCATTTTTGTTCTAGTAGGAACCATTTGAACACCTGTACACTTTTCTACTGGCCAGCTGCAATTCTTTCAGTAAAAATGCAATGCCTGTATGCGGTCTCTTTATGGGTTTAGGTCAGGCATGCATCCATGTTTAACAACAACAACAACAACAACAAAAAATCACTTATGCACATGCCTCCACATTGCTCCCTATTTTTGTTGCATAAATCTAATATAACAGAAACATTATTCTTTGTAATTTGTATTGCAATAGTCCTTTGAAGCTAGGTCCTCCTAAGAGTTAACTGCTGTGCAAACATGTAATAGAAGAGAATGACCTTGTAATCTATGCTTAAAATCAGATGGCTATGACAAGCTAATGAGACAATTTCAATCAATGCAGAGCAGTGGCCACAGCATCCAACTACTGAACACTATCACGTACTTTGCAACAACCACAGCACAGGTGTTTTAAGAGTGAAATTTAGAAGGAGATAAGATGGTGTGGTTTATTTTGTTTTGGGGGTTTTTTTGAGGGGTTTTTTTGTTTGTTTTTGTTTTAAAGGAGGACTATACTAGAGGTACACCGATAGACACTTTTGGGGCTGATACCAATAGCCGATTTTTAAGGAGGCATATCAGCTAATATCAATCCGATTTACAATACCAGCCCCACAGCTTGAAGAGCAGTGTCCAGCTGTTGTAGTACAAGGGGAAGGATGGGGCATTGAGGGGGGACAGATCA